TGTTATGTCACAGTGCAATTAGTCTAATGTACATGTCTTTTGTATGTACAATTTCATTCAAGTATGTGATCTTAAAATAAAGTTATTTAAATTTTTATCTGATACATACAGAAAGGCACTATCAACAAAACACTCAACAACATGGTTCAGTGGCCGAGTCTGTTCTTTTACAAATAAGAAATTTTAAATTCAATATTTTTTACACCTCTTAACGACTAATTATTCTTGTTCTTTAGGGGAGTCAAGTCATTATTCAGGGAGTAGGAATTCATTTTTTTTCAATAACGTTATGTTGACTAAGATTTTTTACAAACTTTTTCATTTCAAGTGATGTGTGACACAATTTTTACTATCAAATAAATGAGTTTCATTAAATATTCAATGATGGAAATATTCACCAATTGTCCCCCCCCCCCCCCCCCCCCCCCCCCCAAACATGTGTTTTAACTTTGACTTGCAAATAAACCTGTGTTTTAGGGTGTATTTGAGATAATTTTTCAGAAGCACTTTTAGAATTTACTAGTTAGTACTCACGTGCGTTGCACGTGAGTCTTTTTTAATCTATATTTTTGTTCTATTTTTTTTATTCTTTTGTTATATGCATTTGGAGTCTTTTGCTTATATTGTGCATAATCATACTAAATGTTTCATTCTTATTTTAGTATTAAAAATTTAAGACCGGTCAATCTCAAAAAAAAATAAAATTTTTTTTTTAGCCAATCAATCATTTATACTATAGTTTAGAAAAAAAAAGAGAAGAAAATCTTGTATACTAAAAGCTTATAATCTCCAACAAGAAATATGTTCTACACTATTCCTGCACTTATTCTTGTAGAAATTTTAGATTCTCAAATTTGTCGACCTACAATTGTTTTTTATATTTTCACTTGTGGGATTGATGAATTGAGGATATCATGACCTATAATGGATGGCAAATATGGTTTAGCAGGCAAACATCTTCAAAAACCTAAACACTTTTTTTTTTCCTAAGAAAGAAAATAGTTTTATAATTTAAAAAATTATGTTGTACTCTAGATTGAATATAAACTCTTAATAGCTGTGTATATATAACTTGACCCTTATTACCTTCTAAACCTTTTAAAACAATTGACAAAATTACCCAACTTGTACTATTTTTTCTCTTCCTTCATTCTTTTTCTTTCTAACCCATGAACATTCTTTGAGAACAACATAACCTTGTGAACTAAAAACACAATAAATTTTACAAAAAATTTATAGGATCAATCTACACCTTGTGAACTTAAAATTACATCATGAATTTTGTGACTAATAATTATCAACAAGGACCAAATTAGATAAAATAAATGGAGATTTTTTATTTTTAATTTGTATTGAGACCTCGCAATTGTATTTATGTATGGAGATGAAGATACGTGTCTAAATAGTGTTTCTATAATAAATCATTCTTATAAGCTTCTCTTTGTGTTTTTTTTTTATGTATGCACATATGAAATGCTGGATTTTTTTTATTTTTATTTAGAAACAATAAGAAAAACTTCAAATGTGGTCAAAAAGAAAAATCATAAATAAACCTGTTTACTACTACAAATCGAAAATCCCACAATTACATTCGAAATTTGAGTGATTCACCCTCGTCAATTAGGTCCATCAACAACGTCCACACCATAGCCACACGAAGAAGAAAACAAAAAGAGATTAGTGATACTGAGTGATATGAATTCACAAACTTGTTGCTAAACCAATTTAGTTACATACATGGATTAGTTAGTTTCTTATAGAGAATTGAATTACACTTTAGAGATTGCAAACTAGTGTTTCTTGAACAGTCACATCAGATACAAACCCTTGCCCTTGTTTCCCAGATGTATTGCACTTAAGAGACTTTGAATGTTTGTGCTTACCCTTGTAGACAATTTCAATTATCTGTCATCAAATGACCGCCTAACCTTCTTTTCCATTGGACAACTGAGGTGTGTGCATTTGTAATAACTTGGTGTGTACTCATTTCCTTTAAATTGCTTTTGTCCATATTTCTTCCAACTATATCCATTATAAGAAGTTTGAGCACCACTAGCCATGGGTTGTGAAGTTCTTGGATCCTTTTCCAAGTTCTCTGGTGCCATGTTGGAGGGCTCCATTATTTTCTCAATTCCTAAAATCCTTAAGCTGTGTACAGGGCCCGACCTAAAACAATCCTTGTTGATGATTGATATTGCTTATCTGGATAACAGTGACATCCATATCTCAGCATATAGTCGATAAATGTATATAGATAAAATTGCGAATCCAAGTTGTCCTCTACACATGCTCAAGTAGGCTCATGTTTGGGACTACATAAATCAGAGAGATTAGGAAAAAATATTGTATACCTTAAATCCTCAACAATAACAAATAATTGTGCTAAGGACATAAAAAAAAGTACAGCAATTCAAAGCAAAATGGTATCTAAATTTATAAATACTGACGGAGAGAGACTATGGTCTTTGATACAATCTTTGCCAAGGTTTGTAAACCACATTGGATTTGCTTTATGATTTTAAGATGTCAAATGAATCAACAATTGTAGCTCCAGATATCTTATCCTAAAATCATTGAACCCCATAAAACTAAAGGAAAAAAATCCAATGAAACGAAAAGGAAATCTATAAGAGAAGTCCATGAATAAAGAGGTCACTTGGGAGGAAATTACCCCAACTGAAGGGCTGTTTGCCATGGATATGTTATATTGTGAAATGAAGGGGAAAAAATGGGGAATAGAAAAAGGTGGCGAAGTATGATTCAATGTAGTAGTTAATAGAGTTATTCAATGATACATAGTGGTCTTTAAAATTTTAAATGAGTAATGTTTTAAAATTTTAAAAATAGATAATACTGAATAAATAAAATAGAAGGTCAAGAGTCTTTACACTTAGAAATGAAAGAGTCTAAGAGTTAAATATAAGATGATATGATATGTTTGACATTATAGAATTACTAAAGACCAAATAAGGAACTTAAAAGTTTTTCTCCTCAAGTCACTTTTAGAAGTAACTAGCAATGCACCGCATGCGTAAAAATAAATAATTTTCGTACATAAAAATTAATAAAAAGTTAGATATATGTATACAAAAATTAAATATAATCTTAAATTTATCAAACTTATTTTTTCATCATTTATACTTTATTATATAATTATAAAAATTTTGTATGCTCTCAAGATTTGTTATTCTAATTATAAGAAAAAAAAAGATTAAAAAATAGTTAAAATTTTATCCTTTTAGAATTTTGTAATTGAGAGTGATTTTTAGTGGTGTTTGAAAAATAATTTTTTTTTAAAATTCATTTAATTAAGATTCCACTTATAATTCATTGAATAAAATAAAAATAATTGTCAACATACTAAGCATATTACTGGGGTATTAGTTAAGTATATTTGGATAAAATTTAATATACTACTTTATAGTATAGATTATACATCATATTAAAAATACATTACAATCTATTTTCTCACAAAATCTTAGTAAAACTTAAAAAGTTTACAATAATTGAAGAATTATCCTAATGTAACATAAATTGATCTTAAAAAATTATATATATGATTTATTTGTCCTAAAAATGAAAGGGTTACATTTTTTTGATGAAAATATAATATATGTGTGTGTGAGAGAGCACAATATTATCTCTTTACATATGAAATGAGTAATATTATATGGATAAAAAAAAACTTCTACTTAAATTTTTTTTTTTTTAAAAATACATCACCACCACCACAACCGCTACCTCCTCCATCGCCGCTATCGCCACCACCACCACCGAAGTTGCCATCGTCGCCACTACCGTCACCATCGCCCACCATCGCTTGCCATCTCCACTACTACCCCATAACCAACGCCACCACTATCACCACCACCACTAAAGTCGCCATCGCCGTCACCACCGTCACCACCGTCACCATCGCCCACCATCGCTTGCCATCACCACCACTACCCCATAACCAACGCCACCACTATCACCACCACCACAATCGCCCCCCACTACCCGTCACCACCACCACCACCACCACCACCACCACCACCGCCACCCATTGTTACCACGCACTTTTTGATAAAGTATTTTTAATTTAAGTATTTTTTTGTTTGAGCATTCAAACGGTGTTTATTTAATGAAAGAATTTTTTTATAAAAATACTTTTAAGAAATACTTATTTAAGAAGTACTTTTTAAATTTTATAAGTCATCCTAAACGCAACCTTAATCCCCCGGAGAGTTGTTCCAATGATAAGAGTTTAATGATTAATATTTAAAATTCTAATAAACCATTTTGATTGATCGAATCGATCCCAACCCAAATTTTTGTCCATTAATCAATAACGTTATGCTATGCTAATCAAAATTTTTTATCAAGTTTTTCATCTCAAGTGATGTGACACAGTTTTTATCATCAAATAAGTGGATCCCATTAATATTCAAAAATAAAGATTTCACCGCACATCACTTAAAATAAAAAATTTAGTAAAAAACTTGATAAACATAATATTACTTGTTAACTCTATGAATTTACAGGAGCGAGAAACTTCCATGTCTTTCAATGTTTAGAGAACATTCTTGTTGGAAGGACTTCTTATATGGCCGGCACACCGATCGAACATCCCTATACATATCGAGGTATGCAAATGGACAAGTAGTTGTGACATTGATGCTCAATCTGTCAAAAAATATTTAACACGAGGGCTTAAGACTAACTAAAATTACAAACATAAATTTCACTTGGCTTTGAGTCTAACCAAGATTACAAAATCAAATCAATGTCGTTCATAACCCCAAAAGAAAAAAGAAAAAGAAAAAGAAAACAAAGAGGGTGCCACGTATTCAATCAACAAAAAGAACAATCAAAATTACATGTAGTCGATGATCATTTAACATCGTCATTAGATTAGATATGAATTCCAATGTCGGGATAAGATGGACCAACGTTGCTCAGGTGTTGGTGCCGGAAACCTCACCAGCTTCTTCATAGAAAATGATATTTTGTTAGCATGATCATGGCTTCTTTTTTCCCGTGGGAGTAGCATTCCCGTCAAACAGTTCATCAACATAAGTCTCTATATCTTCAGGCTGGTACTTTATGTACTTTTCCGATTGCCTCCCTGGAGTTAAATACTGACTGAACCTCGCCATGAATGATCGGTAAGCCGGAATCACCACCGCCGATATCGAAACCCTAAGTTCCGATTGAAGCTGCTCGTCACTCACCACCCAAGTGCTCTGCGATTTGTGTATCTCATCAAACATGGCGTTGAAGCTCTTAAACCTCTCTTTCAGGACTGGTTTCACCACCTTCCCATGAACATTCAAACCCTCATGGGTCAAACACGACAACAGTTTACCCCATGTTTCTCTCTGGTAACTCTTATGGTATTGCCTCAGCTCTGACGATCTCTTCCGACACCATGGGTCACCCAACAAGCTATTGATCTCTGTAGATCCTTTGATCTTCTGTAAAATGTAACGACCATTGTTCATCATGAAAATCAAGCTCAGTGACGTGTCTTTGTATAGCTTCGATTTGGAATCCAAATTTGTGTCCAGTAAATCCATCACTTTCGTTATCTGGCTCTCGAGCGGCGATTGCTTTTCCGACGGATTGTTGATGTTCTGTGATTGTGAGTTGTAATCGTAGTTTGAACGGCTGGCCGAGTCAGCTCGTTCGATTTTCTGGTGCTCTCTGAAGACTTGTTCTAAGGTGTCCTTGTACTCACATGCGTATTTTAGGTAATTCATGATGTAGCGAGTCAAGGGGTGAACAGCGCCTCCCGGCACCGGAGTCTTCCCGGTATCGGACTTTATCGAGTTCTCAAGTTCACAGAAAATGCAAACCATTGCTTCACCGAGTCGAGAACGAGTCAATGAGGCTTCGGCTTTGAGTTTCTCTGAGCAATCCGCCGGAAACAATTCGTCCATGACCGGAATGATGTCACGCAATGCCTCATAAATGTCCAAAAACTTGAACAATTTCTCTGCCGCACGCTTCGTCATCGCAACAGCTTCAGCGAAATTGAGAAGCTGAATCATCACACCTCGAGAGAGGTTGCTGAAGAGTGTCTCCGACACCGACTCGTAGCCGGAAAACACCGCCTCTGCGAGCTTACGTTCGCCGGTGAATTGCATAGAAGAACATTGCTTGAACGTTTTGATCCACGAAACAATTTCTCTCTCCAGTGATTCCCAATTCATCTTTTGCACATCGTCGATGCTGTGCTTCTCAAACCCAAGCTCATGCAAACTCTCTTCCAATGCGTTCCTTCGAGAAATGAAGTAAACCTGACGACACTCCGTCTCATAGCCTCCCACCATCATCGTTATCACTAGTTTATTCAAATTTGACACAACCTCCTCCGAGTATCCCGGAAAATTGTTCTCCGTTGTGGAATCAGATTTCTCGGGCAAAGCACATTGATCTGAATCTTGATTAGAGAGAGACGATGAAGATTGTTTCATTTTTGAGTCATTATTATGATCTGAATTAGGAAGTTTATAATCTTCAAGAAGCGATCTAAACTCCTCCTCCAAGTATGACATTGCGCGCTGTAGAATTCCACCAACGCGGTTGATCGATGAATCGTACTTTGATTCTGACGAGAAAGCGCAAAGTGATGTTGATAACTTGAAAATTCGATTCACAGCTTCAAGAAATGTTGTCGACTCCTCCTCTGTGACTTGACTCCATTTCAATGGTGGATCAGTTGAATCATAGTTCGCAATCTTTGCTTCGACAAGAAGAGCAAATTGTTCCACGAATTCTGGAATCTCTGGGAGTTCGAATTCATCGCTTTTTAAGTTCGACAAAATAGAGATAAATTGATCGATCTCTGCAGAGACTTGAGAGAAATCGGGAGTCTCAGGAAAAGAAGAGTCTTCAATCTCTGTATTGATTTGGTCTTCTTCCTCTTTGTTATTTGTCTCGGCATTGTCTGGTTGGGCTTCTTCAACCTCCGCGGATGTTTCAGACAATGGGGGATCAGTGGTGTTACGGTCTTTGTCTATGTCAAGATCGTGATGGTCAGGTTGGTTGTCGTTAAAGCTTGGGAATTTCTCAGGAAGAGGCTTCTTTTTATCGGAATCCATGGAAGCCTATGGGTAATGGGTTTGGACGCTTCTTGTGTTTCTGAGACAAAAAGGATTGAAAGAAAGAGGTGTGAGAGGAAGAAGGGTAGGAGAGAAAGAGAGAGAAAATGATGGGAAGACATAAACTAGAGAGATTTGAAAGGAGAATTTTCCGTTGATTATTTCTTTCTACTGTTGAGAGAGAGAGAGAGAGAGAGATGAACTTGGTGTTTTTACCACATTTCAGCGCAAGAATAGAACCTCTCTAGAGGCCACTCACCAGTCACCCTTCAAATGCTCCAATCATATCAACGCCCTTCTCTCCCACCCAACAACAAATTCCTTATTTTGCGTCTGCAAAACTCTCTCTCTCTCTCTCCGTCGACCAAGTTCCTCTATTTACGATGGCGCTCTCAAGGTCGCCGTTCATGTTTCCCACGTCCCCAATCTTGGAAAGTATCGCATTGATTTCATTGAGTTTGACGTTCAGTTGGTACATATCGCCGGCGACTTCTCTTTCTTTTTACCTCTTGTTCTTGATTTGTTCTTTGTATCTCGGAGCATTTTCCGGCCTAGTTTTACCAGATGACTTGTGAATTTTGTCTGTTCGTCTTATGCTATTTCGTCCACGTCCAAGTAGTAGAACGGATTTTGAATAGGGAAAATCACATTTAGCAACAAATTTTTCAAACTCGACTCGGGCTCGTTCAACTAATAGCCCTAATTCGGAAGTTTCTCTTCCTCCCCGTCCCCTCTCTTTTTCTCTCCCGAATTGCTTCCCCTCACATACATATCTCTCTCTTTTGCTCACTCCCCAATCACCACTCTATATTTCCCAATATTCCTTCTCCTCTGTTTCTCTCTCTCAACACCTTACATTATAAGTCAGAAGCCCTTCTTTCTCACGCAATATCGCAACATAAGTAAAAAATTCTATCACTTGTAAATTAATTTTTGAACACATGCATAAAATGGGTTTTGGATCAAACATCAAGTAAAAGATTTTAAATTGGGAGTACTTGAATCTTGATTTAAATGAATCACTAGGATTTGAAGCTGAATGGTTGTCCTCCATTGTAGGAGTCTTGGGTAAAGTGTATGTGTGAGTTTTGTTACTTTAAATGGATATTCTTGATCTTTAAATGTAATTAATTGATCCTAATATAATGTGAGTTTGCCGCTAATCAGTTATTATAAACAATCACAGTAGTTAAGAGGAGCCAAGAAATCTTTCCCTCTCATTTTTTTAATTTACAAATTTTGTATTTGTAAACCTAAAAATATGATCTCCTCCAATCATGACAATTCATTGGCTCCCCTTTTTATAACTTTATCTCTCCGTTTATTATCCTATGATGTCATGTAACTTTCCATCTTCTTTTCATTATAATATCCAATTATTTATATCTATTTAAAGTTATTATAGTTACTTAGTTGTATGTGTAACACTATCTTCATTTTTCATATTCATTTTTCATTGTAAAGCGTTACATAGTGAGAAACTATTAAG